TCCTATGGTTGTTAAATGATTTTTTTTTTATGGCGAGCCCTTCATTTTCCTCAGAAAATTATTGGTTGATGTTCTTTGAGACCCAAATGTATGTAATTTTCTCCAAAGAGAATTATTGTATTTTGCTTCTGTCAGATGTCCGGAGCCACTACCAGTCAAGAACTACTTTAAAGTAATTTCATGGCCTAAGGGTTTTTGGAAGCTATTCAGGTAAAGTGAATTTGGGTTTTTAGTCCATTTTAGGGCCAGCTTTTGCTTGTAAAATCTATGTATCTCCCCCCTTCATCCATATGCATTTCTAAGGCAATTTTTCTTGCTGTCCATTAGGGATAAACCTGTCCATTAGGGATAAATGTGGAACAAAGTCAGGTTTATTTCTAGTTCACCTTTACATTGAAGTTGTAAATCTATGGGGTGGGAGATTTATGGACGTAGGGTCTCCTATTAGTCTCCCCATCTTGTGAAGGTTTTAGGCATTGCCTTCTGTTCCCCACAACCTCTGAGATCATACTAACAAAGCTCAATTTCTACAGGTTTGGCAACAGAAGTGATTTCACTGCTTTTGGAAATCCTGTCTTCATTTGTGCTTTGGCTTGATAAATTCTTACTGTTTTTTCAGTTTTCCAGTGTTTTTAAAAGGTTTTTTTAATTTAGCATTTTTGCTTCTTTTTAGCAGGATGTTGGTCTGGATTTTCAGGCACATATACTAATGGAAAGAGGGGTCTCTCAAATGGTTTATTCTCCCCGTGCAAACTACAATGTTACTCTTAAAGTATAAATCTCATTATGTTATTTCCCTGCTGAAATCTCCCACTGGCCTTCTATCATACTTAGAATAAAATCCAATGCCGTTACCATGGATTACAAAGTCTTAGATTGTCTGGGCTCCCATTGCCTCCTACTCACAATCTCCCAGCATCCTCTGCACTGTTCACCCCTTTGTAGACACACTGGCCTCCGTGCTATTCCTAGAACATACTAAGCATGCTCTTGCCTCCGGGCCTTTGCACTTGCTCTTCCCTAGATATCTGCATGGCTCTTCCCTTCATTTCTTTCTATTCAAGTGTCCCTTTCACAAAGAGGTATTTTCTGACCACCTTTTCTAAATTTGCATACCTTTTCCACAATTTTATACTTTGCTTTATTTTTCTTCATAACATTGCCACAACCTGACATTGTATTATATATAGTTTGATTAATTTTGTTTAAATTCTCTCTGCACCTAAAGGAGTATAAGGTGATTGATCCCAGGCCATTGTTTCCCTGTTGTACCCTAAACATTTAAAACAGGGTTTTTCAACATCAATAGGATTTGTTAACCAACTATTGACATTTTGGGCCAGATAATTGTTTATTGTGGATGGCTATCCTGTGCACTGTAGCATATTTAGCAGTATCCCTGTCCTTTACCCGCTAGATGCCAGTAGCACACCCCCAGTTGAGAAACCCAAAATGTCCCAAGACTTTGCTAAACATCCCCTAGGGGAAAAACTCAGCCCTGGCTGAGAACCACCCATCTAGAACAGCTCCTAAAATGCTATTTATTCATTAATAAATGGAAAATCATAGGGTTGAATCCCAATTTTGCCCAAACTGACTGTGTGATTTTGAGTCTGTAAGATAACAATCAACAATAGCAATCAGCTTATAGTTTTGCTGAGAGGATTAAAGAAAAGAATGCGTATAAAGCATTTACCAGGGTGTTTGACACATAATAAATACTCAGCAGATTTTTTTAAATCAGTATCATTAGTATCCTTTAAGATCTTGATCAAATATCACCTTTTATTTGAAGCCTTCTCTGATCTCTTCCTCACAAAATTACTCATTTTCTCTTCTGAATTTTGCTAAAACTTTGTCTCTTGTAGGCCATGCCACATCAATTCTAATTATTTGCTTTAGTGTCTGTTTATTCTGGTGGACTGTGAACTACTCTTCAGGGAAAGGGACTGTGCCACATTTGTCTTGGTAACTCTTGAGCTTAGATAGCATTTGGCACAACTTAAAGAAAATATATTGAAACAAATTTCTTCTACTTTAGAGTGGAGGAGATTGAAACCTGTGAAGATGATGGGACACTGGGAAAGGTCTCGTTATTGATCTTTGTGTAATAGGAGCCTTCTTTCTTGCCTTGGATAAAGTCAAATGTGAATCAACAGCACCAGGGCAATTAGAGGCAGAGATGACATAAAGGGGAATCTCCAGGCTCCTAACCCATGCCTTGCCTCATTTCACCACATTAACCTCCAAAGAGAACAATAGAATTAAGGAAATGGACCTCCAAAGTCATGCTGCCAACCTCTAGCCATAGGGCCAGAAGTCATACACATTATGTGAAATGTTTCTCCTGAGAACATTCAATGGAAGTAAACCATAGAACAATTATTCCCTCTAAAGAGACTAAGAACTTTACACACACTCCACATAGAGGCGGTGGAATATGGGAGGAAAGAAGATGAAGTAGTCACACAAACCTGGGTTTCAAACCTGGCTTTACCTTTTACTAGTTGTTTGACCTTAGACAAGCTACTTAACCTCTCTAAACCTCAATAACCTCATGTGTAAAACGTGGGAGATAATAAGAGTACCCAATTCATAGAACTGGTTTGAAGACTAAAAAGCATACTGTGTACAAAAAGAAACAACCTAAGTGTCTGTCAACAGGTAAATGGACAAATAAAAATGTGATTCTGTATATAAATGTGAATATGTAATATATAATAGAATATTATTCATCCATGGGAAAGAAGGAAATCCTGTCATTTGCAACAATATGAATGAACCTTGAGGGGATTATGCTAACTGAAATAAGTCAGAGAAAGACAAATCCTGTATGATCTCACTCGTCTGTGGAATCTAAAAAAGCTGAACTCATAGAAGCAGAGAATAGAATAGTGGTTACCAGGGGCTGGGGTAGGGGGAAATGGGGAGCTATCGGTCAAAGGGCACAAACTTCCAGTTATAAGCTGAGTACGTTTTGGGGACATGATGTACTGCATCGTGACTGTAGTTACTACTAATGTATTGTATACTTGAAAGTTACTAAGTGTGTAGATCTTAAATGTTCTTACTACCAAAAAGAAGTAATCATGTGACATGATGGAGATATTAACTAATGCTATGGTGGTAATCATTTTGGAATATATGTGTTTCATATCAACATGTTGCATATCTTAAACTTATACAATGTTATATTTGAATTATATCTCAATGAAGCTTGGGAATAAAAAGGATATTACTTAAAGCTGTGGTCTGCCTGGCACACAGCAAGTGCTTAAAAATGATAGCCTATTTGTATTGCTGACTTAGTGTTTTTAAGTTTCCTGAGACAAGGATTTATCTCATGTATTCTTCTGTACTTGCTGCTTCCTTTCATTTTTCCAAACATATCTTCACTCCCAAAATATATTAAATAATACAGAATCAGGATTTTGTAAACTAGAAAGGAAATTGGGTGGCAAATAATTAACTGAAGGAAATATTAATACAGTTTTACTCAAATATTCTTTTTAATTTTTTCCAAAAATCTTAATTTTTCATTACCACAATAAGCATAAACTGTAATGAGTAATGTTAGAAGTCCTAAGGAGTAGCATTTTAAATACAATAAACAGTGAATTATGATTGTGGTTTATGTTTCAAAGCCAGTTTCATATTAAACACCTTTGCCTTTGTTCTTCATTTTCTAGTGAGAAAGAAGTGTTTCCCACTAATCAAAGGTGCTAGTTTCCCTTTTTCTAAGCCTGCCCTCTCTCTGACTGAGGTGGCACAGAGAAGAAATTACCAAGAAGGAAGGAAAGGCTATAATTCTTTTCTGGTTCCCTATATGCCATTCTCATCCCACAGTGCAAAGCTGTTTACTAGTGTGAAACTCTGTGATTGTGTTTCTTCAATCAAAAGCTTCAAGGGTTTTTGCTTTTGTTTTCCTTCATTTATTTTGTTTAACCACATTCTGCCTACTGCCCCGAATTACCTACAGCCCATTGCTCCTATCGATACCCTAAAATAGCGTATTAGAAAATGAAATGTGTGGAGCAACTGGATCTGACTCTTCCAATTACAGACTATCCTCAAAAAGTAATTTGAGGGGCTAGCCTGGTGGCATAGCGGTTAAGTTCATGCACTCTGCTTTGGAGGCCTGGGGTTCACCAGTTCTGCTCCCAGGAGCAGACATATGTACTGCTTATCAAGCCATGTTGTGGCAGGAATGCCACATACAAAATGGAGGAAGATGGGCACAGATGTTAGCTCAGGGCAAATCTTCCTCAGCAAGAAGAGGAGGATTGGCGGTGGCTGTTAGCTCAAAACTAATCGTCCTGAAACAAAAAGTAATTTAAAATCCGACTCATAAAATTGCAACTTATGTATAAACTTATGGTTGCAAAATGAATTTATGAGAGAAATAAATAAGATATGTTGAAGAAAGTTAGAGTGGATCTACCAGAACATATAAACTACAGTTCTGACGTGTGTTACAGAAGTCTACTCTGGAAAATTAAAGTACATTTCTCAGAAATAGTTAATGACATTGATTTTTTTTCTTTCATGGTTTTACCAGTAGGAACCATGATCATTTTAATGCAGACTACCTGGCACGTAGTAGCATCTCAGTAAAAGTTTTTGGGCACGTGGATGCTAGAATAAATAGAATAATTCAACAATATGTGTAGGGGCCGAAAAAGTACCATATGCACAGACATACACACTGCAAACATAGATTCTTTAGAAATGCATTGATAATAGTGATTGTGTCCTATAAAATATTAACCAGACATTAAATAAAGTGAAGTAGAATTTCATCTATAATATATTTTTGATATATTTTCAAAGAGTTGAGGTGGAGACAGCAAATAACAAAGAAATATATGTGCTATGATTCATAGAAATCAACTATGTAACTTCCACTTCTGCCTATGAGGGAATAACCAATCCAGGACTTTCCCTCCAATGCAAACAACTAGAAAACTAGAAAACAAACATTTGAAACAATCTCTTTTCAGAAATCAGGACCGTTGGGAGTGCAGGACTGTGATCACTAAGAGAAAGGAAGCAAACGAGTTGAGCTCTACAATCACTCCAGCTCCCTACCAGGAGGTAAATTTTGAACTGTGACACAGGAAAGAGGAACCCAAGTAAACCAATGTTGTTCCACTAAATTCAGGAGTAGAAATTGGAATTCAGGTAGGTTGAAATAATTGGAATTTGCGTAGCAGAATAATGGAGAGGAGGAAGCTATGCAGAAAAAGAACTCCAGAAATCTTCATGGGGGACTTTTGAATCTTTGTCTGACTACTAATCAACACATTTGAAAGATGAGTTCCATGAGACCTGAGAAAGAATAAACTGCTTGTGAGTCATCAGTTGAAAATTTTCCAGAACTCCCTGTCACTGCCCTACAGGAACACACTTGTAGATGAACTTGGGTTTATTACTTATTGCAGCGAGGGAGAATGAACCCCAGGGCATCTTAGTAAGAGGGTGTTAGAAAGAACATATTATAGGATTTTGGCTTTACTTGGGTAACTTGGAAAAGGGTCTAAGGACGTGGGGGTTTGCTCTAGATTGAATGCTGTCAGAAAATGGGCAGTTCTGTGACTGGGTATCAAAATGAATCTTATATAGAAGGAGGGCAGACTAGAGCAAATATAAAGCTGTAATTGGTAAAACAAGTAGCAGTCACTCATATTATCAGGGAGGAAAGCATATTTATATTTTGTAGATTACACAGTAATTTTATTTTTGTTTGTGCTTAGACAAAATTTTAAAATGGCCTTGTTTTATCTCAGTTCATCATGATCTGAAATTGGTGTTCTGTGAAATTGTTTATGTCCAACAGAGAATAATAGGGCTTAGCTGTGAGTGTCAGGCCAGCTTCTAGCAGCACTGAGGCCTGGCTATAAGTGTCAGACCAGTTCCCAGATGTCAAGGACTTTTTAAAAAAAATTTCTAACACATAAGGTTGAGTCATTTTCAAAATTCTACCAGTGAAAGTGGAGAGACCTCACTTGACACTTCAAGCAATCGGTAGACACTAGAAAGGTAAACTAGCCCAAGAGTAAAGGCTAGTCTAGACTCACCCCAGCAAAGCTTAAAAACAAACCTTAAAATCAAGATCCAAAAAAATCAAATAAAACTCCTTAAAATCAAAATCCAAAAACATTCATTTAATTGACTAGCAAAACAAACTGAAGGGCAATTTATGAACCATAGCCAGGAAGAAATCTGAGATGATAGAATTAGTTGACAAGGGTTTTAAAATAGTTATTTAAAATAATGTAACTATGATCTACTTTTTCACTGTATGAGCTGAGAGGGCTTAGAATCGATGTCTCCTCAGTAGCAACCAACACACCTAGGACTCCGATCTTGGTATCTAATATCATCCTCCAGTAAAAGAAACCTGGGCTCCTTGAAGAAATAGCTGATTCTAGGACTGGGGCAGGAAATACACAGTAGGAGCCAGTAGCATCTTGTAATGCCAGAAAGTAAAGAAATCTCAAAAGCAAAAGGATGGAAGCATGACAAAAAAACATAGAAACCAATACAAAGAGCCCCTAATGGCCAAAACTGGAATAATATGAACAATAAAATTAATAAAGTAGTATTGAATTATAATGCAAACTATACAATAAATATTTGAGTCTGTAGTGATATAAATCAATCATTGAATAAAGAAATAAATGAGGGAAAAGAGAGAAATCTATACAGAAGGACTCCAAATAATTTATGTTGATACTCTCTACTCCAAGAGGTGGAGTTTAATTCTCCTCTCCTTTGAGTGTTGGCTGCACTTATTTTTTGAAAGAATAGTGTATGGAAAGGGAGGGGTAACTTTGCTGTGGAGAAACCTGGCTTCACTACTTTTCTTAGGTGATTAAGGCTAATATCACTAGTGATATGTTGTGTGATATCATGTAGCCCTGATATGATATGATGAAAAAAACAGTTCACCTCTGTGGTATTCTTCCCTAAAACTCATAGCCTTAGTCTAGTAGTAAGAATACCATCAAACAAATCCCAATTGAGGGACATTCTACAAAATATCTCACTAATACTTCTCATAAATGTCAAAGTGATCAAAAACAAGGAAACTGAGAAACAGCTAAGAGGAGCCAGTGGAGACTTGATGACTAAAAGTAATGTGATGTGCTGCATGGGATCTTGGAGCAGAAAAAGGACATCAGTAAAACCTAAGGAATACTGAATAAAGTAAGGACTTGAGTTAATAATAATATATCAATATTGGCTCATTTGTTGTGATATATACTAGTGCAAGTTGTTAACAAGAGGGGAAACTGGATGTGGGATTTTCTTATATGTGAACTTGCTGTACTGTCTTCACATCTTTATAGTAAATCTAAAACTATCCTAAAAATGTTTATTAAAAAATTTACAGAGCGCTAGTGACAAATAGAATAATGTTACATGATCCAATATATGTATATTAGGAGTCCAAGAAAGAGAAGGCAGAAAGGCAAAAGCAGAAAAATTATTTGAGGATAAATGGATAAAATTTTGTAAATTTGATTTAAAAACTGTAAATTTATAGAACCACTGAGTACAATTAAACACAAGAGGATAAATACCAAGAAAACCAAGCTCAATGCATCATAATCAAATTGCTAAAATAAGTGGGGGAAATAAAACTGAAAGCAGAACAAAAAAGACATTACATGTAGATGAATAAAAAGAAGAATTATTACAGGCTTCTTGTCAGAAATTATGAAAGCCAGAAGACAGTTTGCCAAAATTTATGAAGTGCTAAACAAACAAAACTGTCAACCTAAATGTCTACATCCAGTGGAAATATATTTTGGAGATGAAGAAATACAGAGATTTTCAAAAACAAAAAGGCAAAACCAGAGAGAAATTTTCACAAGCAGTTCTGAAGTATAACAAATGTTAAAGGAAGTTCTTCAGATTGCAGGAAAATGACATATACAATGTAGAAATTTGGATCTATACAAAGTAAAGGGCCTAAAGGATGAATATGTGTGTGTTTTGAAGATTTTTTTTCATTAATTAGTGGGAAAAAATAGAAGATACAAATTACCAATATCAGGAATGAAAGGGGGAATGTCACTATCTACCCCATAGTCATTCAAAAAATAATGTACACTTCAAACAACTTTATGACAATACATTTGCAACTTAGATGAAATGGACAATTATCTTGAAAGACACAAAACTCAAATTTAATAAAGAATTGTAATAGGTCTACATTGTGAGCCTACATTGTATACAAATATACATTCATATATACTGAAAAAAAAAGCTGAACAATTTACTTTGTTTCTTAAAGTTGCACTGACCTTACTTTCTCATTTGTACTACATAAATACCACTAGTTCTATTTTCCATACATCCTCCATCAAAATTTTGTTATTAAAATAAGAAAAAACTCACAATATTTTAACCATGTTACAAAATATTTGGCATAATGATCTGAGATCATCCAGCACCCTTCCTGCTTTGCCAAGATCATGAAAAGAGAAGAAATCATTTTGGTCAACATTCCTTAAAAAGAAACAGCCGTGCTGAAAAATAATTCCTGGAGTGAAGTTATGTATGTAAACTTGCTCTTGAGGCACTAGTCTTTGGGGCACTCAGATTTCAGGAGTCTAGCTTGAAGGCTAGCACTTTTGTGGGTTTTTTTTGGTTTTGGCATAAAATACAAAACAAAGGCTTCAGTCAGAAAAAGCTGACTAAGCTATGCACTTTCTAACTATGCAAGCTTGCTCGAGTTACTTAACTTAGCTGGGCCTCATTTTCTTATTTATTACATGAGCCATGATATCTATCTCTCAGAGTTTGAAACTTAAAGATATCATTTAAAAATCTAAAACTGGTAGATGTCCAATAAATGACAGCAGTTGTGATTAGTTTTACATCATTATTTGATCATTTGCAATTATGCACAGGGCTGGTTTAGGGGTACATGGTATTGTTCCCTTAGTGGATTTGCAACTATTATAGTTAAGGGATGCAATTTCTATAGCTACCAAAATTCACAAGTTCTTTCATGGATAGGGCCTCTTAGCACTGTGGGGGAGCGCACTTTTAAACTGAAGTCACAAGGTGATGACTTGAACAAAGTAATTGCCTTTGTGTCTGGGGCTAGGGTATAAGAATTGCAAGGGGGCAAATCTGCCTTGCTAAAGTTTTTGATAATTAGTATATTGACAGGTTGATTGGCAAAGTTAGTTAGTGATGTGGGTTTCCTTCTTCGTATTTGAATTAAAATGCAGTTTAAATGTCATCCAAACTAAATTCTTAAAAAGAGAACAAGTAGCAATGATCTTATTTTGGCACATTATAATTATATCTTTCGTATTACTCCTTCATTTCAATCTTCTTTCAGATAGAAAAGTATAATTTATAAGTTTTCCTTATTATAAATGACGATATAGTTATTGCAGAGAAAGAAAAAACTTGAATCAAGGAATTAGCCAACTTACATTCCAAATAAAACTTAATTATTTCTAGTTTGTTATACAACTATCTTACTGCTCCTTTCATGGTAGCTCTGAGAGCAATGGTGTAAATAGAAAATAAACAGTGTGTGAGCAAATGGTGTGAGGTCCTGCCTAGAGTCTTTTAACACATGAGATATATTGTTGTCACATGCCACAATCTTGCAGGAAAAATCGATATAATCTACTCTTGAAACTTACATTTCTTACAACCCAAATCAAAGAGGGTATATGTGATGTGATCTTATTCTAACGTGGCAAAGTGAAGATTTGGGAGCAAGCCTCAGAGTAAGATGTCTTCAGTGTTGGGTGACAGGGCTTTTTAAAAAATCCTAATTCTTGAAATTTAATTCATTTAACATTGAGTACCTACCATGAACCAGGCAATATGCTGACTAGGTCTGAGGTGGGGTTGTGTAAAACAGAGTTGGACAGGACATGACCCTGGTTATCAGCTGACTTTCAGTCTAGTAAAAGATACGAGCCTTGTGTTTTAATAATGATTTATTTATCACTGTATTTCAAGTTGTGTGTTACATGTTTCTTCATGTATTTTTTTCATATCTAAGGGGATCTTCAAAACAATCCCAATTAGTGGTTATTGCCCATATGTTGTGGGTAAGGAGAATGAAGCCCATGTATCTAATGTTTGATGCCAAAGGTCACAAATCAAGTAAATGACAGAGCTGAAATTTGACTCCTGGCCTTAATGTTCTAAGTACAAATGCTATTTTCACTTTACCCCAGCTTCTTGCCTATATTTCATATGTGAAATGTTATAAGAGAATGACAATGCAATGTAAGAGTTCAGAGGAAGTAAGCAAATCTCTAGTCAGAAATTTTGGCCATGCTTCCTGGAAGAGGGAACATTTTAACTGAGACGTGAGGGATAGTCATAATTTCAACAGATAGGTGTACAACGGAACAGAGGAGAGAGGATAGATCTGTCAGCTAGGGGATATCAAATATGGCAGTTAAATTTGGAGCACAGAGACATGGAGGATGACAGCGCCATTAAGCATAATGGGAAACTCAACCAGGAAAATGCTTGGGACAATTGTATTTACCAGGACTGCTGAATTGGTGATAATCTTGTCATCCATTTAAAATATTTTATTATTTAAAAATAATTTTAAAACCTATATTAGTAAATCTGTGCCAGAACCTGAAGCATGGAGCTGGAAAACAAATGACTAGGTAGACTTGAGGGAGAGAAGCATTCAGATAACTGAAGGAAGAAAACTCCAGAAAAGGGAAAAACGACTTCAAAGACACTGGCGTGAGAATGTGCCTAGAGCATTCAAAGAAATTTAGGTGGCCAGTGAAACTGGAGTAGAGTGAAAGAGCAGAGTAGTAGGAGATGAGTTCACAAAGGTAACTGGGGGTGAAGAGGGAGGGCTGGTGGTGGGCAGATCATAAAAAGTCATTTGGCTTTGGCTTTAACTGAGGATGGGTGTTTTGAGAAGAGGAATAACTTGATCCGACTTGAGATTTATCAGGATCACTGTGACTTCTGTGTTTAGAATAGACAGAAGGAGAGAAATGGCTGGCACCAGGAGTCCAGATGGGAGGCTATTATAATAATCTGGGCAAGAAGTGATGGTGGCTTGGATAAAGATATTGTCAAAAGGAATAGTGATAAGTGGATGAATTGCAGATTTATTTTGAAGGTAGAGCCAGCAGAATTTCCTGTCTGACTGGATGTGAGGAGTGAGAGAAAGAGAGGACTCAAAGATAACTCCAAGTTTTATGGCCTGAGCAACTGGAAGGATGTTGCCATCTACTGAGATGGAGAAGACAGTGAGTGGAGCAGGTTTTGGCAGAGAAGGAGGAGATCACAATCTTGCCTTGGGGCATGTGGTAAATTGTGTTAGGCATATGAGTGTTGAGTTCAGGGTAAAGGTCTGTGCTACAGACACAAAGATGGGAGTCATTGGCATAGAGATGGTATCTAAAGCCATGTGAATGAGTGAGATAACCTACAGAATAAGTATTGATAAAGAAGAAATTTAAGTTTTGATCCCTAGAGATCTTTATCATTTACAAATCAGAGAAAAGAGGAGAAACCAGCAAAGAAGACCGAGAAGGGCAAGAAAAATAAGGAAACAAGACGAGTACATTGTCCTGGAGCCCAAGTGAAGAAAGTTTTCTAAGGAGGAGGGAATAAGCAATTGTGTCAAATGCTGTACAGAGGTTGAATAATATGAGGACTGAAAGTTAAAATCACATTTAGCAATATGGATCTTATTAGTGACACTAATAAAAAACAGTTTAGATGGACCAGTAAGGGTAGAATTCTGATTGGAGTAATTTTATTGGAGAGTGGGTAGAGAGCAAAAGGAACTAGAGTCAAGAAAGGTTTTTTATGTTTTTTTTTAATTTGTTGATTGATAATATGGGAAGTAAGAGTGTATACTGATGTGAATAATGCAGTGGAGAGGCAAAATCTGATGATACTGGGAATAAAAGGATAATTGCTAGAACAGTGTCCTTCAGTTGGCAAGACAAGATGGCATCTAATGCTTCAGTGGAGAAAGTAGCCTTAACTAGGAGTAAGAATGGTTCATCCAGAGTAACCACGATGACAGGGGGAACGTATATACGGTACAAATGCAGGTGAGTTGGGTAGCAGTGGTGATGGGGGTCTGTGGAAGTTCATGCCATTGACCACTTCAGTTACTCCTACATAGAAGATCCAAGATGAGACCAGTCTAAATGTTCTGCTTCCATAGTTATTCCTGTCTCCTGTAGAAAAAGTGGTAAGTGTTTCCAATTACTCTTTTAAATCATGACAAAGCTGAATCTGTAAGAAAGCAATCACTGAAAAAATGGGAAACAAGACCTGGAAAAGTCGCAAAGCAAAATGCATGTTTAACAATGTAAAAACAATAATGTTAATAGTAATAATAATAACAACAATAATAATATTCAATTCTATTTAAGAATTGTTACCATTCTGGGAATTTAATATAGATATTGTTTGCTTATCATGATTTTTCACCTGTCGTATTTTTTGCAGTATAAAGTAAGATTTATATGGCTGATCTTCAATGATATACCCAGAATGGTGAAGCTAATAAATTTGTGCCATAAAAGTTACCCATGTGTTTTCCAAACATTTTTTGAGGACCTGCTCTGTGTCAGATACTGTGCAGGTTTTCAGGATACGAAGATATGTAAGACTCAGACCCTGCCCCTGGAGAGATATGGCTTGACAGAGATAGTAGGGGAGAAAGACAAGAAAGCAGGCAATTTCAATATGGGTGGTATGTGCCATGATGGAGAAATAAATATAGTGGCATGGAAGCACAGAGGTAGGAGTAACTAATCACAGAGATTGTTTGCATGAACTCGTAGATGGTGATATTTTGGCTGAATCTTTTTTAATAATAACTTTCTATTTTGTATATTTATTTATTATTTACTATTTATTCATTATTTTTCACATAGCATGATATTCGCCCTTTTAAACTGTACAATTCAGTGATGGTTAGTATATTCACAAAGATGAACAATCAACACCACGATATAATTTCAGAATATTTTCATCACCACAAAAAGAAACCTTGGACACATTAGCAGTCACTCTTCATTCTCCCCTCTCCTCAGCATTTGGTAACTGCTAATCTTTCTATATCTATAGACTTGCCTATTTTGACATTTCAAATAAATATCATCATACAACACATGGCCTTTTGTGTCTGGCTTCTTTGACTTAGAATAATCTTTTCAAGGTTCATCCATGTTGTAGCATGCATCAGAACTTCTTTGGTTTTTACAGCTGTATAATATTCTGTTATGTGGATACACCACATTTTATTTCCCCGTTCTGCAGTTGATGGGAATATGGGTTGTTTCCACCTTTTAATTATTAGGAATAATACTGCTGTGAACACTTTTGTATAAGTTTTTGTGTGAACAAATGTCTTCAATTACCCTCTTTCATTCTTGATTTTGGTAATTTGAATCTTCTCTTTTTTTGGTCAGTCTAGCTAAAGGCTTGTTGATTTTGTTGATCGTTTCAAAGAGCCAACTTTTGATTTTGTTGACTTTCTCTGTTGTTTTTCTAATCTTTATTTCATTTATTTTTACTTGATCCTTATTATTTTCTTCCTTCTGCTTGATTTTGGTTTACATTGCTCTTTTTTATAGGTTCTTAATTTGGTAGGTTAGGTTATTGATTTGAGTTTTTTAGTTTTTTTTCTTATTTATCTCATAAGTGGAAGCTTGTACTATTTGACCACCTTTGCCTGTTTTGCCCAGCCACCACCTCGTGCCTTGGCAACCACCAGGTGTACTCTGTATCTATGAGTTTGGTTTGGTTGTTTTGTTTTTTAGACTCCATGTATAAGTGAGATAGTACAGTATTTGTCTTTCTCTGTCTGACTTACTTCACTTAGCCTAATGCCCACAAGGTCCATCCCTGCTGTTGCAAATGGCAAGATTTCATTCTTTTTAATGGCTGAATAATATTCCATTGTATATATATATACAATATGTTCTTTGTCCATTCATCTATCAATGGACACAAGTTGTTTCTATGTTTTGGCTATTGTAAATAATGCTGCAGTGAACATGGGGTCCAGATACTTTTTTGAGTTAGTGCTTTAATTTTCTTCAAATAAATACCCAGAAATAGAATTGCTGGATCATATGATAGTTCTATTTTTAGTTTTTTGAGGAAACTCCATACTATTTTTTACAGTGGCTGCACCAATTTACATGCCCACCAACAGTGCACAGGGTTTCCTTTCCTCTACATCCTCACTTATTTGAATTTTTTAAAATACAGCTGTTCACAACTATAAATTTCTCTACAAGCACTGCTTTAGCTGCATCCTGTTACTTTGTGTTAGTCGTATTTTTATTTTCATCTATCTCAAAATGTTTCCTAAGTTTATCCATGATTTATTATTTGACCTGTTGGTTATTTGGGAGTGTGTTGTTTAATTTACACATATTTTCCAAATTTTGTTGTTTTATTGGTTTCTAATTTCATTCTTTTGTGGTCAGAGAACATACTTTGTGTCTAAATTTATTGAGATTTGCTTTATATCCAAACATATGGTTTGTCCTAAAGAATGTTCAATGTACACCTGAGAGAAATGTTTATTCTGCTATTGTTGGGTGGGGTGTTTGATAGATTTCTGTCAAGTCTAGTTGGTTTATAGTGTTTTCCAAGTCTTCTATTTCTTTGTTGGTTTTCTGCCTAGTTTTCTATCCATTATTAAAAGTGAGGCATTGAAGTTTCCAATTCTTACAGTTGAATTATCTCTATTTTCAATTGTGTCACTTTTTGCTTCATGTATTTGTGGACTCTGTTGTTAGGTACAATTACTTTTATATTTTTTATATATACATGATGGGTTAACAAATTTACCATCATAAAATGGCCTTATTCGTCTCTAGTAACAATATTTGTCTTGAAGTCTATTTTGTCTATAACCACTCCATCTCTCTTTAGTTTCTGTTCGCCTGGAATATCTTTTTCTGTTCTTTTACTTTCAACCTATTTGTGTTTCTGAATCTAAAAAGTACATCTCTTGTACACAGCATAAAGTTAGATTATTTTTAATCTGTTCTGCCAGTCTCTTCCTTTTGATTGGAATGTTTAATCTATTTATATTTAATGTAATTACTGATAAGGTAGGATTTGTGTCTGCATTTTGCTATTTGTTTTTTATTTGTACTAAGTTACTTTTGTTTTCATGTTAAACCACTACTGCCTTCTTTTGTGTTAAATAGACATTTTATAGTGTATCATTTTAATTCCTGTGTCATTTCTTTTGATACATTTTAAAATTATTAGTGGTTTGCCTGGGGATTGTGATTAACATCTTAATAATAGCACTATAGTTTGGATTGATACCAGTTTAATTTCAATAGTATCCATATAGCTCTGTTTCTTCCTTTCTCTTTTGTGCTCTTATGGTCATACAAATTACACCTTTGTACACTGCATGCCTATCAACATGGATTCATAATTATTGCTTTAAGCAATTGCCTTTTAGACACGAAAGAACTAGATGGAAGCAGTTCCTGAGACTGCAAAGTAACTGCTTGAGCTAAAGCTGACCCAGCAATTGTCATTTAAATCACAAAAAAGATTAAAAAAAGAGTTATAAACAAAATAAATTTATGCTGTTTTTCATGTCTATCTTTGTAGTAATCATTACTGATGCTCTTTATTCCTTCACATGGATTTGAGTTACTGTCTAGTCTCCTTTCATGTCAGGCTGAAGAACTTTCTTTAGTATTTCCTGTAGGGCATGTCTGCTGGTTATGATTTGTCTCAGCTTTTGTTTATAAAAGAATGTCTTAATTTCTCCTTCATTTTGAAGGATAGCTTTGCTGGATATAAATTTTAGGTTCACTGCTTTTATCTTTCAGCACTTTATATATGCCATCCTACGTCCTTCTGACCTCCATGGTTTCTGATGGGAAAACAGCTGTTAATTTATTGAGGAGTGTGGGTAGAAGATGAATTGCTTCTCTCTTACTGCTTTCATGTGTCTCTGTTTTGTCTCTGTTAACTTGACTATGGTATGTCTAGGTGCATATTTCTGAGTTTATACTACTTGGAGTTCACTGAACTTCTTGGATATGTAAATTAATGGTTTTCATTAAATGTGGAAAGTTTTTGGCAATTATTTCTTTAATTTTTTTTACCCCTTTCTCACTCTTCTCTTCTAATACTCTCTTTATGCATATTTTGGTATGATTGATCATGGTGTCTGTGTATTGCTTATTTTTCTTCATTCTTTTTTTCTTTCTCTTCTTTGGATTGGATGATCTCAATTAACCTATCTCACATTCACTGATTCTTTTGCCTTCTTAAATCTAGTATTGAGCCCTCTAGTGAATTTTTCATTTCAGTTATTATACTTTTCAACTCCAGAATTGCTATTTGCTGCTATGTATAATTTCTGTCTTCTTTTTGATATGCTCTATTTGGTGAGAAATGATTTTTATATTTTCGTTTATGTCTTTAGAAATGATTTCTTCTTGTTCTTTGAACATATTTAAAATAGCTGATTAAGTCTTTTTCTTTTTCTTTGTTTTTAAAGATTGGCACCTGAGCTAAAATCTGTTGCCAATCTTTTTTTTATCCTTCTTCTTCTTTTTCTCCCCAAAGCTCCCCAGTACATAGTTGTATATCGTAGCTGTGGTCCTACTGGTTGTGCTATACGGGACACTGCCTCAGCATGGCTTGATGAGCAGTGCCATGTCCATGCCCAGGATCTGAACAGGTGAAACCCCAGGCTGCCAAAGCGGAGTGTGCAAACTTAACTACTTGGCCATCGGGCCAGCCTCCAAAAGTCTTTTTCTAATTTATTTAATGTCTACTCCTCAGGGACAGTTTTTCTTGATTTCTTTTTAATTTCTGTATGGGCCATACTTTCTTGTTTCTTTGCCTGTCATAATTTTTTTTGTCAAAAACTGGAT